TAACACATTTTCTGAGGCAGTTCGTTAGTCCTCATTTATTGGAGCGACTCATATTTCTCGAGGCAATTCGTAAGTCCTCGCCTATTCAAGATCGATGCATATTTTCGAGGCAATTCGTAAGCCCTCGCTTATTGGAGCTACCCATCTTTCTGAGGCAATCTGTAAAACCTCGCCTACTTGAGAGTTTAGATTTCAAGTCCGACCCGCATATAAATAACACAACTCGGACTTGGGGGACTACTGTTACGTCTATAAATTATCACTCCATATTGGGCCACCTTATTGGACCCGAGCTAGGCCCATTAGTGTTGGGCCTCAAAGCCGAGGCTCTAAGAAGCCTAGCCGAGGCGCCACCGAGGCCATAAAAAGCCTAGCCGAAGTGCCTATCACTTTGCTCACCTCATACTGGGCTCGAACTTAAGCCCATTAACCCGCCTTAGCCCATTTCACATCATTTCTCTATATATATGGATTCAATTCACAAGTTAAGGTATGTTCTAAATACTCTAGCCAAATCCCCTATCTCTCTACTATTGCACTCTATATATCTATCTCCGTCCGACCGTTGACTTGACCGTCGGAGTGCAAACGGTCGTCGGACCTTTTTCTCGTCCGGCGACCTTTGCCTCTTGACAGGGTGCTACATGCGCAGGTTTCGAGGGGACGAAGCTAAGGTGCCTGTTGGAGCCATTTTTGGAGGTCAACAGTTATCATTCATACTCATGACATGCATGATTTTTGCTTACTAAGTATTGGCTTATGTAGTTCTTCCATTGTAAGTGAGTATGGAACTACATAGAGAGCACGGCTTGCTGTGAAGCTCTTACCAGATTTCAGAGTTCGATATACATGGATGACGATTTGTAGGGTTATTTTGTGGGCTACTATTTTGCACTTACGACCTATTTTATTGTATGTTTAGGATTCTGTGTTGTATATCTTTTGACATGACATGTAAACGTGTTTATAACCTCAGAGTATATATGTTTGATTATGATGATATAATTTTAGTTTAGAGATATAGCTTATGTCATTGTATCAAGTGAAAAAAATGTGTGAAATTCCATGTCTAGATCGAGTCATCAATTTCATTCTCACATAGGTTAATGAATAGTTATATATATAAAAGGGGGCGTGACATCACGTGATTAATGTGGTCCTGAAGAGAAATATTTTGTGTTTCTCGTACTTCCTCACTGTAATTTGAAAAAAAAAAATCTAGGGGAGTACTAAACAATATCAAAACAAAAGCCCACAACATAAAAAAGGAGGGGTAATGTCCCTTTTTTTTAATTAAAATAAAATAAAGAAGAAGAGGAAATTGCACCAAGTAACTATTATTTAATTTATATTCAAATATTACGTTTCATCTTATTGTTTCCATAAAGTACTAGATTATATAACAGTAAAATGAAAAATATTAAATTTTAACTACTCACGCAGGCATTAAATCAAGTGCTAATTCACTCCCCAAACAAGCCCTTATCAAATCGTAATCATGCTCTTAATCCTCAAATTGGTGTCCATTCATACTCCTCCCTTCCTCCCAGATCATCTCAACTCAATATATTCCAAAAATCATACCAGAGTTTGGTATTATACAAATTTCTAGCACCGTAGTCCTTTACATCATTCCAAATTGTAAAATTCTTGACTTTATTTGTTTCGTTGATTAGGGATTTATCACATCTATAAAACCCTAATCGATGATGAAGGTACAAAAATCCTCTCTCAAAAATCCTATTTTTCTGAGGTAATACGAAGTGGGTTCCAAGTTTCCGACAGGTTATGGGATCACATAGAATCAGTTCAAATTTGTTTTCAAACAACAATAAAAAAATGGCCCAAAATACAAATTCGGCTACTCATAAATCTATTCACTCTTCTCTGGGCTTTGTATGGGTACACCAAAATACTGAAGCTACTCCTTGTCCAGGGGTTCTATCAAGACCCAGCAAGTTGGTACATCATCTAAGTCTCTAGAGATCATTGAGCCAAAAGAAGAAAAATTTGAGACTCCTTATCACCGCATTACCCGGTGGTCCAGATCTATTGGTGTTCTGTCAGATAAAATTTATCCTCTTCATTTGGAAATTGGATGACTGGAAATCCCTCTGCTACAGTTGCCGACGGTTCCCACTTCACTGAATCCCTGCCACAGTTACAAAAATTCAAAGTTTCTGGTGTAGTCAGCATACCAACTGGAGTTTGCCTCTTCCCTTTTCCTCTTCTCCTTTTGGTTGGTCCAGTGCACGCACAATGGAGTTTTTGGGGCAAAGAGGAAATTTTAGTGCAGGCCGGTGCCTGCACGGGCCTCTGTGTAGCTCCACCTTTGCTTGTTTTGACAAACCATTGAAGGGGAAAATTCAAGTTTCCGTATAAAGCCATAAAAGAAGTGATGGGGTCTATGACTAAAAATAAAGTTTGGGATCCGTTGAATTGTTAAATGAACATAAAGCTGGGCCCATAAGGCCAGAAAATGCACCTGGTCCTGTAGAATGATATATGGCCAGACTTGTAGCCAAGGACTTCACTCAAAAGAAGGCATCGGTTATTATGAAATATTTTCTTCAATTTCTAATAAAGATTTGCTTAGAATTATAATGGCTTTAGATGCTCATTTTGAATTGGAGCTATATGGAATGGATGTTTTCAACATGGAGATCTTGTAGAAGAAGTATACATGAAACAGCCTGAAGAATTTACCATTGATAAAGTAATCACATAGTATGCAAATCAAAAAAATTTATATGTGGGCTAAAATAAGCTTCCCGTTATTGGTATTCAAAGTTTCACAATGTTGTTACTTCATATAATTTTATAAAAAATTACCATTGACCAGTGCATATATCTTAAAGTCGGCAGAGTAAATACATTTTTCTAGTCTTATATATAAATGACATTTTACTTGCAAATAGTGATTTGGGATTGCTACGTGACATAAAACATTTTCTTAACCAAAACTTTAAAATGAAGGATATGGGCGGAACTCATATATCGTTGCCATAGAGATTCACAGAGACAAATCCAAAAGGTCATTAGGATTGTCTCAGAAGGCATACATTGAAAAAGTTTTGAAAAAATTCAGAATGAAAGATTGTGAATCAAGTGTAGCACCTATTGTTAAAGGTGATAAATTCAGTCGGAATTAGTGTGCATATAATGAGTTGGAAAGAGAGCACATGGCTTCTATATCCTATGCTTCCGTTGTTGACAGTTTGATGTATGCAAAAGTCTCTACTAGACTTGACATTACATTTGCAGTTGAGGTACCAGGTAGATATCAAAATAATCTAGGTACAGAACATTGTAAAGATGCTAGAAAAGTGTTGAGGTATCTACAAGGAAATAAAAATTACTGACTAGCATATAAGCATTCCGACAATTTATATACGAATTCGGATTCAGATTTTGCTGGATGTGTAGACACAAGGAAGTCTACTTTTCTTCTAGTTGGAGGAGCTGTATCTTGAAAAAGTAGCGAGTAAAACACAATGCATCGTCTACCATGGAAGCATAATTCGTTGGTTGATATGAAGCTACAACACAAACATTATGGTTAAGAAATTTTATCTAAGGTTTAAGAGTTGTCGATAATATAGAAAAACATTTAAATGTTTATTGCGATAATTTGACTGCAATTTTCTTTTCATGAAATAACAGAAGTGAAAATCGAAGCAAACATATTGACATAAAGTATCTTATTGTCGGAGATCATATAAAGAAAAATAAAGTGACCATTGGACATATTAAGACAGATCTCATGATTGTAAATCCTATTGCTGGCTAAATTTCATAATGCTCATGTTGAGAATGTAGGACTTGCATGCTCATTATGATACTCTGATATTTGGTTTTAAGATTATTGATTCTATATTTGAGACAATGTTATTAGTTCAGTTAAAGTTTGTAATGAATACTCATTATTATTATTAAAGTTTGGATTTTGAATGGCTTATAGGAAGTTCATTCACAAAATAAAGTATTCTTTAGAGGTAATTGTACTTGTAATTGATGGAAAGAAATATTTGATTGTTAAAACATGATCATCATAATTTAAGTATTGCAAATTTCTATTTGCGTAGATTATTGATGGCTTCAACATATGACTATATTAAGTTCCTACTTTAAAGTTAACTGTCGAACATGTAGACCAAATGGGAGAATGTAAACCGTGTGACCCACATGATCAATATATTAATTGTCTAGCACTCTGTTTGACCTATATTCTTTTAAAAAAAATACATTTTTAAACAGAGATTTGACATCATTTCAACCACACATTATTCAATAAAATAATATTTCATGCAAATTCAAAAAAAATTCTTATTTTTTACTCTCACATTTTTCATTAATACACTATTAGAAAATACATTCTCATAAAAATAATGTGACTCAAACAAGGACCGGATAACTTTTCATATGATTATTGAGAAAAGTCAATACCCGTAAACAAAATCCCCGCAAATTTTCTCCCTTAAAAATTAAAAATTCAATGTTTATTTCCATCAAGTAAAGGGGTTATTAAGCAAGTACCGACCGAAAGACTTTTGGTGCTTTAAAAACTAATTTTTGCTGCAAATTTTCAATTAAATCTTGGATAACATGGCAGGAGGTATGCAATTTATGTAATAGAAAATTAGGAATCGAAAATAGCTTTCATCAAGAGCAGCGAATGAATTTTTCCCAATAGGACTAGGGACCTTTGATGTTTTGTACTCCCGTCTATGTTGGAGTTGGGTGCAAGAGGAAATGTAGCAAGCTACAAAGAAATGGGTAGACAGAAAAATGGACTGAGTCAAAAGATTAGCCATCGCGCAAGGAATTTGTAACATCATAAAACCGACTCCTGTGAAGAACGACGGCAGAGAATTCTCTGTTTTATGCAGAACTCAAAGATTACCACAGCATGCGGGTTCAAGCAGGCACAACGGGGTTGATGAATATCATATCACGAATGAAGCACGTCAAGTCTAGTTACACAAGGGAGGAAACAAGTATTTCAAGTGCAAATTTAAGTGTATAATAAAATTTTTTATCGTCAAATGAAGAATCTCACATCCAACGTAAAAGCAAGTATGAAAGATGTCAGCCATACACTAGATGTGAAAGAAAAACAAATTGTAGTATGTCGATTTGGGTCCAAAACAAGGATAAGATTAGAGCCAACTAAAGATAAGTTCACGAAAAATAAAACCCTCTAAAACTTCAGTACTATAGCATCAAAGCAATTTATCTGCTACTTCACTTGATACCAGGGACCTCAAGCCTGCCTGTTCTTCTTCTTCGGACCAGACTTGGCAACTTTAAGGCTCCTGTGCACAACACTCAATCTTGCAAGAGCTGCCTTCTTCAGATCTGGCCTGTAATAGTTATCTGCCACCTGCACTCAAGAATGGTGAATTTACCCGAATGAAAAGGTTAACTAGTGTTCTTGTTATCCACAATACTTAAGAACAAATTCACATTGTAATAACTCCCAAGTCTCAAACAAATGCTAATGTAATAACATCAAATCTACCGCGCTGTTGGAGCGAAAAAGTAGCTGATCTGAGGTCATAGCCCTGTAGCCAGAATTTTTACTGAAACTCCAAATAAGAAAATTCACAATTCGTTTTGATGATCATCCACTATTTGGAAGAAGGAATGTGGAAAGAGTAAAGCGATTGACCACCTCTTCAGAGAGTACCATATAGAAAGGGAAAAAGAGAGAGCTAAATACAATACTATTGCACAACGGAAATAACAATTTTTCCTGGTTGTCAAACTTGTATTGCAATTAAATTTATTAGGATGCAGAAAAGGTCAAACTCTTTAAAAAAATGCTGCTATGCAAAGACTAATACTGTTCTAAAAAATAGGGCTTAATAAAATTAGAAGAGATAACTTAATATATTGCACAAAACCTAGTAAAATCATCGGTAATAAAGTCTCAGATATGTAAATAACATCTTGATACCACAACCCGACAAAGTTGATTTCAACTTATTGGATCGCATTATGTTTCTTTAGCATCAATTTATCAGGCCTGTGAACATACCGTATTCATAAAGCACCATTAACCTAGAAGTTGAACATAATTAAATAGTGAAGACACCAGGTAACTCATTCAGGAAGTGATCAACTTGCCAAAGATTTTAGTTTTCAAGTATTATTATAGAAGTCACGACAGAATATAGGAGCGAGTGAGGATTACAAATAAACAACAGCAAGGACTAGATACCTGATTTGAAACAGCCTTTGCCATACGGCTAAACTCTTTCTTCATGACAGACTTGTTAAGCACAGTGGCAGGCTTGTTCTGTTTCTTGGTCTTTGTTGTTGCAAGCAGCACCGACTGATCCTTGCCAGGTTGAATTGTCACTGTTTTCTTGTTTGCCAACCCTATATATAATTCACAAAAGGATCACTTTTACACGCAATCATAGGAAAATTCATACAGACGTGCAAAATAAAAAACCCACATAAAAGAAAATGCAGTTTGTTTATATAATGAAGAAACTGGGCTTAATTGGTATACAAGTTAAACAAAACAGCACAATTATTACAGAGTCCATACTTTCCATTATCAACCATTGTTCTAGACAAGAAAACAAAACCTTAGCAGAATGATAACTAGAAAAATGTCAATAAAAAAAGCTAGGATTCAATGTTTTCTAAGCAACTAAACAATATTTAGATTGTAAAATCATCTTCTTAAAGGGGAATAAATGAAGCTTCATGCTAAGTATGCATATCAATTTCCCCATGATTTAAACAAAAGAATACTTCCTTCACTTGCATATTCTAAGCAACCAAGAAAATTACATCCCAAATAGCCTTCACAACTATTATAGTACAGCTGAATTGCCATCACAAAAATTTCTCAATAATGGTACAGAACAGATTTTAACAAACATAGCCCAAATTATTCACAAAACGACTCGTTTCACCAATATTTCAGCCAACAATTTTAATCCCAGCCCTAAATTCATATTCAGAATCCTGGTGTAATACTGACCAGAATGCTTGTAGGAGTGGAGATTGTAGAGATTGTTGGGCTCCTTACTGAACACAACTCCGGCAGTTCCATTCCCAAACTCCTTCACCAAAAACGAATTGTTCTTCTTCACGATCTCCCATATCAGCTGTCCTGGAACAGTTGCCATTTTCACTGAACTCCTTAATCCCCTGCACTCAAAATTATCAAAAATTGAACACGTTAAATACATAAATCACATGCGCATTCGTATATACACAAATTTCAGCGATTTAAGATTTCCAGGTACCGGAATATTCAAGGGTTTTACTTCCGCGGCTTATTGAAAGAGTTTTGAGTAGAAGCAATGGCCTTATATATGCTGCTGTTATAAAACCCTAGGGAGATTTAATGCTGGTTGACGAAATGGCCCTTGAAGTTTTCCGTAAATTACGTTTGTGACTCCCCGAAGTACCAGCCAAAATAACTCTCTGATTTTATCACTGTTGATTCTAACGTAATTGCTTAAGTAATAGGATATTTCTCCTTGCACAGGGTGTGAGATGCCCACCCTGTGCACACCCTATGCACAGGGTCCTGTGCAAATAACACAGCTCTAAGCAATATTACTTTGCCAGTCTACCTCTTAAAACATATTTAATACATGATATTTGACAATAGAATAAAAAATAGACATTTTCTTCTTTAATACTGTATTTGGTCAATACATTTGCCCCTTGTATGGTCCTCATTTTTCAAAATATAATTTTCTATTTATTATTTTTTAATCACGCATTCTTCAATAAAATAATATTACATCTAAATTTAAAAAAAATTTTAACCACACATTTTCCATCAAATCACTATTTTAAAATGTATTTTTGACATGCTCCCGATGTAAAGATGTAAATTACATTGATTTTAAAAATAAAAAAAAATAATAGAAAAATCCCAGGTAATAAACAACCCACCTAAGACATGACTTGGCTCAACCCGAATTACACTTCTACCTCTCAAAACAAACAATGAAAACTTTTACTATGTTTCTAATTCTTAATATTGATTCATCACTAGCTTCCTCGAAACAAACTAACGTGCCAATACTATTTAACAATAATTTCGAAAAGCTAACAAATGACTTTTAAGGCCAGTTTGACATAACTTTGACTTTAAGAACCCAAAAAAAGCTTTTAAAATTCAAGGGCTATTTTTGAATTTGTTTAACTAATTTTGTAAAAGTGTTTCTTTTAATTAAAAGAATTTTAAAAAGAAATTGGTCTGATGTAATTTATTCTAAAAGTACTTTCGAATTAATAAACAATTTAAGAAATTAGTTCCAAACAAAAACTAAGGAGGAAACCCTTCTGAATGAAACATAATATCAAGAAATTATTTTTAGATCCGATTGAATAATTTTTTTTTTTTTTTTTGTCTAATTAAGAACTCAACTCGATGACAGTGCTCTCCCATCTAGACTTTTCCACAGCTGCTTGTGATACAATAGAATTAATGTAGTTCTCATGACAATAAAATGTGTGAGCATTATTTTATAGAGGATTTCTATCTAAACGAAAATTAGAGAATGAGCCCTTGTTTTCGTGGTATTAATTGTTTATACTTTAGGTATTGCCTCGGGCATCTCAATGAATTTCAAAATGTTACTCAAGATCATATTTTTGAAAAATATTCTTCATCCATCACTCATTATAGGTTTGTTCGTTAGCCTTTACAGAAATACGTACTTGGCAAAAAATATTCACACGTGACATGTAGTGGATGTTAAATTCTCCTATTCAAAGGTTACTTCACTAAATCGTGATTTTAAAGTGCAAAATTTCTTGGGTCGAAAAACACTTTTTAACCAATTGAAGGCTAATCAAAAGCCTCAAATTCGGGCACACAATTTGTACATTTTGAAAACCGCAATTTGATTTGAAACCCTAAACTTTAACATTTTCCCTATACGAACAGGTCGGAGCCTTGGGATGAAAAACTCCTCAAATTTTAGGAATTATTGCTATCGCGGTCAAAATTCAGATCTAAAGATATGTTGGACACAAGGTAGTCCCATAACACTAATTTTTGGGATTACATGTTCTATGAGAAGTTAGATGTCTACGATTTTTTTGCATTGACTGATCGTCCACAAACATTCTAGATATTAGTCGATAATCAACGTGCTACTAGAAAAGTGTTAGAAAAATAAGTTCAAGAGTATGAAAATTAAAAAAAAAAAAAAATGTTTGCAGGATCTCCTAAATTAATTAAATTTCAATATCAATTGATTGCATAAAAGGATTAGGAGCGTGATCATTCCTTTATATTCCAAATCATGGACCAAATTGCCACAAGCTATCAACCTCCTTCCTGGATCTACAAGAATTTCCTTGATCTTCAAGCTTTAAACTTCAAAGCTTTCTTCGATGGTCTTTAAATTTACGATAGCAAATGTGTGGGCACCCAAAAAATCCAAATCCAATTCCAAAAACGAGATTGTCATAACAAAACCATTGAAGAGGAACAAGAAATAATTTAATCACGTTCTGACTCTCATTTTATAAAATTTACCTTATTCAAACTCATTTTTAATTGACAATTATTATCAAATGTTCAATTACACATCTCATCAACTTTAGATAAACCAATAAGGCGCCTAATATTTAAGGCAAATTTCATATATATGAAACATTTCAAATTTAAAAGATTAAATTATTTAGTTAAAAATTAAAATTTAAAAAAATTGATGGAATATAATATTAAAAAATTGATAACAATTATGAATTTTATAAATATGTGATCAAAAATTAATTTTGATTAATAGGGCTTAGACAATTTAAAAAAGATCCAAACAAATTCCGACCCTGAGAGGAATATCTATGGACGGCTCTGATTGATTTTAATTTACGTTGATTTGTGATCCTAAGTAGCATTTCAATTCTCGTGCGATTGAGTACACTGGAACTCAAGGTGCTGCAGCAGGTCTTTCCTCTGAGCGCTTTAGGTTTTCGTCGTCCACTTTCATCTTAAAGAAGAGAAGAAAAATCACAGGCGTATTTAAGCAGCCATGACTGGTATTTTTATTTTATTCAAATTTTTATATTTTTCAGTTTCTGTGTAGAAAAATGAATCTTTTCAGCTATAGCTATCCTCCGTAATGGGTTAGTTCATTGGTTTCTGGATGCTCAGTGTAATGGCTGGATTGTTCAAGATTTTTTCTTATCTCTGTATTTATATGCGATTATGATGCAAGTTTGAATTCAAATCGATAAAAATAGTCGATACAAAGAAATATGTCTCTTGGAGGACAGGAACTCAAAAGAAATGCAATTTGAGATGGAAAAATCTGAGATTTATTTCCTGAAAATTGACTGCTTACAAGAATGGAATTACGGTTACTTTTATAGCTTAACATCCTATCCAACTATACATTCTTTAACTAACTTAGTGATGTAACTAACAGCTTGACTCTTTTTTCCTTCCCTTTTTGCTTACTTCCTCAGCCATTGATCTTGCGAGCTCAGCTATCCAAAATCTTCCTGTAATCTTCTATTTCCAGTCTTCTGTTTTCCATATAACATAGTCCCTCCCATTAAGGACTCTTTTCCTCAAGAGTGGCACGAGGAATTCTGAGAACCAGGTCATCATAAAATCCCTGTGTGTTAACTGTTTCGGACATTTGTGACCAGGGACAAACTTTTCATCACACCAGAAACACAATTCTTTGCTTCCCTTTTCATCTAATCCTGCATCACTCAATTTTATTGTTGAGTTCATAGTTGGTTTTAATGCCTTTTTAACTGGTTCAGGTAATTTAATAAAGGCTGATTTTGCTGGAAGTGATTATTTGGTTCAAGTGTATAGTAAGTAGGCTGGGCATTGCCAGTTTGATAAATGTGTTAGCATTTGGTACATTTGGGTTTCTTTGTGGGTATGGAGGAGGTTTGACATTATGTTTGTAAAATTCCATCGAGTTTTACAGATTCAAATCTTGAAGTCTAGCAATAGAATATGCATGCTGCAGACTTTGAGGATAAAAAATTCTTACCAGTCCTTGAAGCTCAGGGTTCAATCCATCGATATAGCAGCTAATTGAGTAATCTTCATTAAGTGTAACCCTACGAATGCAACATCAAAGTCTTCCAGGTAATTCTGCAATGTTCCCTTTTGCTTCAAGTTCATTAAGTCTGCCATTAAATCATCATACACATTGGCCCCAAATATGATGTTTAAGGCTTTGACATATTCCTCCCATGATGAGGATCCCTTGTCAACCTGTTCTTCACATCCAGCTGGTGCCATTGGAGTGCTTTCCATTCTAAATGGATAGATCATAGATGCAACCTGGACCTTCATAATTGGAGGATTATCATACAATTCAAAGAACTGTTCGTTCTTGTAAAGCCACCCCAGTAGGAAATTCTACCCTCGAGTACCTGGTATGCATCCCATAGTTGGAATTACTAGGACCAGCTCTGTTAGGTTGTAATTGGGCATTGGGGTTTGAGTTAGGTGGAATTGGGAATGGTTGTTGTCTTTGGGAACTGGAATTGACAAAAGGAGGGTTAATGCAAGGTACATTGTTGGCAGAATTCTGTAAATGGCGGATTTGCAAACTTCTGATGAAATTCGTCAGTTCAGATATGCATCCTTCAGTCTTCTTCAATGACTCTTTCTGTCTTTTGGGTACTTTTTGGAATCATGGACTTAATCATGTTCTTGATATTTTCTTCCAATTTCTTCAGTTCCTGTGAGCTTTTGTTGTCTGCCATGGAGACTTACTCTTCACAGGGCCAAGGATCCAGCTCTGTTACCAATGATACAAAGAAATATTTTATTAGAGGAACTGAAAAGAAATGCAATTTGAGAGAAAAATCTGAGATTTATTTCCTGAAACTTGACTGCTTACAAGAATGGAATTACAGCTCCTTTTATAGCTGAACTTCATATCCATCTATACATTCTTTAACTAACTAACAGCTGTAACTAACTACCGCCGTTGTAACAGCTTCAACAACTTTACTCTCATTTTCCTCCCTTTTTTGCTTACTTCCTCAGCCATTGATCTTGTGAGCTCAGCTATCTTGTGAGCTCAGCTATCCAAAATCTTCTAGTAATCTTTATCTCCAGTCTTCATATTTCCATGTAACAATAGTGCGAAGATGATGGTTCAGAAGCAATAGATTTAACCGATTTATTTTATTTTTTAAATTTTGGGATTTGTCAATTTTGTAAGATATTAACTCATAATGTTATCTATATTTTCTTTTGACTGCTGGTTTGGGAATTGGAATCCATTTTGGATGATTAATTGACTGTTATGATTAAATCATCTTCATACGAATTGTTAAGCTGATGTCTGAATGTAATCATACTTATCCTTTTTCCTAAAAACTTTGAGACAGACTATAAGCAGGAGCAGGAGATGGAAATTGAAGCACTGGAAGCCATTCTTATGGACGAATTTAAAGGTTTGTGTGATTGACTATCTTCAGTCCTCTTAAGTTGCTTTATAAGCTTTTGTTAATATACCTCAGTCCTAATGTTAATCAATTCTAGTGGGTTTATTATACCAGAAATTCACTCTAGTGAAAGTGGACTAAGCACTTCGAACCGTTGCTTTCAGATTACATTGTCTCCTCAGGTAACATTCTCAGATTCCCTTTAGAGAGTGCTTTGTCACGTAATATTAGAATTTGAATTTATATGTATGTCTCATAGTGGACACCAATGACGAGAAGAAAAAGAAAGAACTTTCAATGAATCGATGGAAAACAAATTACTCCAAAATATTCTGGTACTTGGCATGATGAGTCTCTGTGATTTCACTAAATGAAGAGGAATATCATATCTTGCAGTAAAGATCAATTATATTTTGACTTTTACTTCAACATGTAACTCATTGCCCCTCCTTTTCTTTGAACATTTTTGTTTCTTCCCAACAGGATGAAGAAGCAGATGAATCAACAAATCCTTCAGGTTTTCTTAATCAGTATACATAATTGTTTGGATCTCTGTTTGTAAGTGTCCATAACACGTGATGCCTATTTCCATTAAATTAATAAACGTTGCCAAAATCTCATTGCAGTTCAGCTAGCCTTGATTTTCTCTCACACTGAAAAATATCCTGATGAACCCCCACTTCTTACAGTGAAAAGGTTGGTGGTTGTATATTTTTCATGTAGCAGATTAACTGTACTTGGACCATGTTTGGAGTTCTTAAAAGCTCCTCATAAGCAAACCCAAACACGCACACATTATATTGTTGACTTTATTATTTTTTTCTGAATGGCATTGCAGCTCGGATTGTACTTTATACTTTGAGCATTTGATTTTGATCTAAAACTTCCTTAAATCACATTTTTATTATAGTATGTTTCCAAAGATTTACCTATTTTGCTTATTATTCTGATTTAAGTGCAAATTCTAAAGTTCTTCCCCATTTATGTCCGAAACCATAAAATTGCTGCTATATATATATATATATATATATATATATATATATATATGACCTTTGAAGTTCCATCTAATAGGTTTAATATTTCTTAGCATGTGCAATGCACTTCATATATCGTGTCCCTAACCGCAAAATTGCCTGGTATTACTTCAGTTAGTCAAACTATCATGATAGGATCCTATTAGGTCTAAACAGGAAATCTCAACTGCTATCCCATGATTGCTGCCTGAGTTAGGTAAATTAAAACCCTGAATCCTCAACTATTTGGAAACTTTTGGCTACCTGCTTTCCTGTTCTTTAAAAGATATTACCGTATTTTATAAAACTGTCAGAAATTCGATATGATTGAAGCCTTCGTCCTTCTCTATTTTCAGTTTAAAAGGAATCCAAACGGGAGATCTTAAAGGTCTCAAGGAAAAGCTTGAACAAGAGGTAAATTTTCAACCTAGTGGCAATACTTCGTTGGGCATGTCTATTTCAGATTCTACAGTTTATAGAATATGTATCACTGAATTAAACAAATTTAGTCGGGAGTTCTATAATCATGTTAATAAATTGTTCCTGTGTACCAGTATTAACAATATATGGAGTGGAAAGAAACTAGAAATAGGTGGTTTAAGGAACGTGTTTATCTGAATATATAACTAGAGATGGAAGGCCCTTGATTTCTTCAGAATCTAACTGAAAGTATATACTTCAATATTTGTGATAGACTGGTGGTGACATAATATGTGGATGCGCTAGAAAGAATCTGATCTTACATTCTTATTAATGGCCATGTGTTCTATGTTCATGATCTTGTATCATAAAGCAGTCGTGCGCCTCACTTTGTTTCTCAATACTCATATTTCGCAGGCATCTGAAAATCTTGGTATGGCCATGGTTTACACATTGGTCACATCGGCTAAGGATTGGCTCTCAGAAAAGTTTGCTCAGGATGATGGCACTGAGAATGCTGAAGAAGATTCAGCAGAGAAAGATGATGTATGGTTATTTGTCATGCTTTAACATACATGTTCTTATGACCAAAAGTCATATGTTCCCTTTTCTGGAAGTTAACAGAAATACATTACATCAATTCAGTTTTATGATCCCCTCAGTTCTGTTAACAAAATATTTTACTACATGTTCAAGAGATTTTGGTGATGTTAATGATGGTTTAAATATTTAAAACTATCCTTTCCTTGTCACAAATAATGTCCGTTTTCCTTGGCTTCTAATATAGATGCTTCTATGTCTTATATAATGTGCAACAACCTATAACAAGCTTGCATCAGGTAGGTAATTAACTTAAATGGTGAGGAGAACTTTGGACATCCATGCTATATTTTATCTTCCCTGTCCACTAAACCTTCAGATTTTCTTTCTAGTGTGGAATGAATGCAAATTGTTAGTTCCTGTTCAATGCCGGGCTGATTACTGTCCTTGTCTAACCTGCCAGAGGTTGACCTCACTAATATGTTTCTATGATATGCTTATCAGCTATCTTATTTTATTTTAAACGAATATTCATTTTTAGAAATCTCTCTACTCTTGAAACAATATTATATAGATGTTAGACTAAGTCACACCCACAAGTGATTATTTTAGAGGCATACTGATGCGGACATCCATTTATTATTTATTTTCTATTTGGACCATTAGTTATATTTTATTTGGACTATTGTTTATGTTTTCGTTATTGGACTTGTTTAGTGAGTTTGGCCCAAGTCCTTCTCTTTAGGGTTTGTGTTCTGCTATTTATTTCTGTTTTGTTTCTTATTTGAGACAGTTGATGATGAATGAATAATTATTTTGGTGGCTTATGGCGCATCCCTCCCCTTCTTCTATTGAATTCTTCTTTTATCCCCTCCCTTAATTCCCCATTCTTTCTGAATCTTTCTTCTATTTCTATTAATCATCCTTTTGGTGCTGCATCAAATTTGGTATCAGAGCC